TTGCCTATTTAGCAAAACATAGCTGGCACACAGACACACAGGCACACAGACACACACACACACGCACACACACAAACACATACAGATGCTGGCACAATTCACAGCTAATTATTAATAACAACACAACTATGGTCAATTATATTAATAAAGTTATGAACTTCACTTAACTTCTTAACTTACCTCTGTCTTTTTAAGGCTTGACCACAAGTGTCTGTGACAAGGTAGTAGACAGATATACAGAACATCTGCACGTCAAGTTATTACTACCTCTTGAAAGCTAATGATCAGGGTTTAAAGCTACAAGTCCCTCAAGTCACTGCACAGCTACACAGTTTTGTGTCAATCGCTGACCATGCAAAAAGCACTCAAACAAGACTGGTTTGACTCCACTGATGTCCTGACCAGCAAGTGGCAGTAGGTTTTGTTGCTAAACCTAAAGTGGAAAGAAAAACTCATTATAGTCCTCTTAGCTGTGCAGAGCACTGGGGCTGCAGTGTGCCGTGCACAGTGTGCCAAGTGGCTAGCTGTGCATAAAAGGAAATCATGGCTGTGGCTGAAGCTGCCAGCTCCTGATATTGCACTTAAGTCAATTGTAACTGGTCTATCAGGATAATATAATATATTCTCTTTTAATTTCAAGACATCCCTTGTCTCTCCTTGACCTCTCTGTGTATATTTCAGACCGTTCACTGAAGGAAAACTTGTCTCTGACTAGTGTGAAGGAGAATGCATTAACCTGGATGCTAAGTATTACTGGTTTTCAGGTTTGGTTGCATCTGTAGAATGGATTGCAGTTTTTAATATTTTTGCATTGAACATCTCTGCTCATGTGCAAATAGTCTTGATTATGCACGATAAACATGCCTTTGCTGTGGTGGCATTGGAGCCCATAATGAGGATGGCAGAATAGCTTTAACGCCACACTAGGCTAGATATTAATGGAAAAATACACCTGTTTTAGCAGCCTAGATTAAAAAATGGGGTGGTAGTGGAGAAGAACATCCCACCCCTGCTAAGTGAGCCCCTGAATGCTTGTCAACTCACAGAAAATAACCACATTTAAAAGCAAAATACAAACAGTAATGTGACTACTACATTCAGGGAACATTGGTCTCATTAGATCTTTTGCCTTGCTCATCCCGTTGCTATCCGTTGGCATAAAGCAATCAGAGCCTGGTTTAGTAAACATGAGCGCGCTGTGTGCAGTTTACTGATGATACATGAATTCTGGGTTACTTCTTGCTGCCATTTGGAGCTGTCAGCTTGCCAAGTGAGGCTTTGGAGACGGTTAAAAAAATCAGTGATTGAAAGGCTTGCTTGAGTATTTAGCCCTTAAGATGTTGGTATAAAAACATCAGTTGTGGAAGGTGGCATCTTTACACATCCTCAGGCCCTGTATGCAAATCATATACGATCTCATACACTTTCCACCTGTCTGAAAACCATTAGTGCATCGACCAACTGTTTGTCAGAGTTAAAACCAGCCATAAATCTCTGAATTTTCCAAGTAGCCTTGAAGTTTGAGCTTAGTCTTTACACATATTCACACTCACCTCAATTCTAATTTTCCTCAACTCCAGTAACAACATCACCTGCTGCTTTCAAGCTTCTCTTCAAGACACCACTGTTAATTGTGCCAACTTTCTCTTCTGCAAGAATTGCAAATACCTCAGTCAACTCCCATTATCTGAAAAATGGTTATGATATTTTTTGTTACTCACTGTTGATGGTAATCTGGATTATGAGACTAAGATCTGTGCATCTTTACAACTGCTGGTTGAATCTAGATCATGTTCCTAAAATACAGACCAACCTGACACGTCATCCATCTAATTTAACAGCATACATCCATTATAGGACTTTGGCACCAAAACGTCACAGCGTGTCCTTATTCGAATACTTAACAGAGCTCAAAGAAGACACACAGCTCATCTGTGGTGTCATCAATATTGTTTGTGGAATCGTGCAGCACAGCCCAGTCCTGCAGTCAAAGCATCCCTGAAAGACATGAGGGCTTTGATCCACACTCCTGACCTGCCGCTTCAATGCCTACTCCCTCTGCAGCTGGCTCTCTGTTGCAGACTGATCTCTTGTGCTGTTACTCAAAGCTTTGCATGAATCAAGGGTCATCATGCCTCAGACTTTCAGCTGTGGGGAACGTTCCATGTTGAAAATGTTCATATTAGCTATAGCAAAAAATCCCCCAAATATGGAGTTGCTGAAGGAGTATCAGCAGCCACAGAATACCCCTGAAAAATGTCAAAACACCATTGAACCTACATCCCACAAGTAGAAAGTAAAATATGATTTACTTTGAAGAAGATGTGGCTAATGTGATTTTATGCATGTCTGTGTGGGTCATGTCTTTCACAAGCGGTTTAGGAAATCTCTTTTTAATTGGTTTCAGACTTTCATCTGAGCTGAAAACTACCTGCATGTGCATCAAGGAGCTGTGCTGTGACAATCATCCACATCCTCCTTTATCCTGGGTTTTCTCTATTCCTTGAAGAAACTGGAAAGGGGCACTTGGATCAGGTCAGAACTGTAGCGCTGAGTTATGCAGCTGCTTTGAATTCTGTCCCTCTTTTGTGCTGTGGCGCTGATGTGTTATTTCATTGATGGCTAGCCTAGCAGAATTATCACCATGGCCAATATGTTGCAGCCAAAAACACCTGCCTCAATATAGAAGAAAAACAAACATGAAACATTTTCCAAAGCTTAATTTTAAAACTGAATTACATTGCGTCACTGCACTGCTTTATATTCAAGTTGCATACATACATTATTTCTTTGTTATTTAAAATTATGATGTTTTATCTTGTAATGCACCTGGTTCTCTATAACTCACCAGCACTATAGAGCTCTGCTGTCATCGTGACAAGCCCTGGGCTCTGTATACAGTTGACAAAGCAATTTTGTCAGAGCTCTTGGGCATGCTATCATCTTGAATCAGTAGCATGCTCTCCCTGAGTGCTAAAACAGTTATGTCTGAGAGGTTGATGGCCAGCCATTGAACTCTGTCCATCCTTGTCAGGGTATCTGCTCTCATCATCAACAGCTGTGTCTCTCTGAGGCTTTGGGCTCACACATTACAAAGATCTTTTTGTAAAAGCAACACAGACCTTACATTTTTACTTCTGACACATCTTTTAGGGCCAAGAGAGATATTTGTGGATGGTATTTTTCTCAAGTCCATCCATTGTTTGCATCAAGTTGTCAAACTGAGGAATGTGCAATTATATTTCCTGTCATCTCTTTGGAAATCCTTCTCTCCTACACTTCTCAAGTTTATTCTTTTCCAAAGATATGTGTGATTGTGCTGCTCTTCATTGTCTTTTCTTCAAAGAGATTTCTACTCTTATCATGTTCTTTGACGCCATCTGCTGGATCCTCATTAAATTAATTTCACTGAAGGTTCAAAGCCACTGTCCCACTTACTGCACACAACATTACAATATACATCCTACTGTATTTGTGTTTACTTATATTGCAATTACAGACAATAAGCAGCGTAACACTTCCATATGATATTATTTGAGGCAAATTATGTAAATTGTATTCCACAAGCAAGTCAAAATCTCAATGTACACCAGTTCTGTGTATATACACAGCATTACTGTACATAGTTGCAGCAGTACTATACAAAAATAACAAAATAACATACAAAAAATAACTCAGCAGAAACAATTTTTTAAAGAGATCAGTCATAGTCATGATTCATCTGGTGTTTTTAAGCTGTTATATCTTTATTGCAACATTCCAGTAAATGTTAAAATGGTTTGCCATATCCAAAAAAAATTACTATTAAGAATGAAAATGTTACTAGTATCTTTTGGAATAGTTACTAGTGACTAATGAATAGGTACTAGTATCTAATATTAGATACTAGTAAAATAGTTACTAGTAACTAATGGAATAGTCACTATTAACAAAAAATTAAGTACTGGTATCTAATCAAATGTTACAAGCAAAACGGGAATAGTTACAAGTAACCAATGGACTAGTTACTTGTAACAAATAAATAAGTACTAGTACCTTTTAAATAGTGACTAGTAAGTTTTAAAAACTAAATGTTAAAAGGGTTTTGTATTGATTTTACATTTTGATATTTTTGCCTGACGACAAGTGTGGAAAACAAGCCCAGGCTATAAATGCAAGCCCAGGCTATAAATACACATGTGTATGTGCCATTGGTTCATGCTGTGTACCTGTCCCTATAAAGATTGTTCCTGTCCCTATAAAAATAAAAATAATATAAAAATGATAAAATATATACATATATTGTCAAATGCATTTTAAGAAATGTAAATTTGGTGTTTACATAGAAATACAAAGCAGTTGGAAAAGGTTTGTGATACATTTTACATATAAAAATGCATTTGAAATAAATATTATATTTATATTTATTTTTAATAAGATTTGATAACAACAAAACATCTTTTATGTATGTAAACATCATTGCAGTTATTTATATTATTTTATATTTTTCAAACACCTTGAATATATTTTTATTCCATAGAAATATCTATCACGTGTTAGTGACTCTAGTGTACACTGTCACCCATTGTATTTTTACTAAAGCCTCTACTGTAATGTTCCGTGGTATCGTGTAGGTTTCCGTGTAAAACTAACCACAGGGCAGCAGGTGTGTTTGAAGGCGGCTGACATGGCCCCGAGCCAGGTCAAGATGCAGACTGAAGAAAGCCAATGCTATGAATGTTTTTCATTATTCAGGAGGACATGAGCAGGGTGGCTGCTGGGGGCGGAGTCTGTCTCTGCAGAGCTGATGGAGGGAGAACGAGAGGGAGAAGGAGTGCATCAAACCCTAACAAGTGGATCGCCTGGAGGGACGCTGAGGCCGAAACTCGCTTCACAAGTGGAGATGGAGTAAACAAAATAAGCGCACCTGCTGTAGACGAAGGTATTTCATCATAGTTTTTGAATGCTGGCAAGTCTGCCACTGTAGTTTCTGCTTTTTCTGCAGTTCATCTTTAGGCACTGTAGCCTAACTGTAGGCAAGCTGGAAAAAGACTGAGCCTAATTTAGTTTTCTTTCTTTTCCTCTCTGGTTTTTCAATAACACGAGGCCTTTCATAACCCTGAATCGTTGTAAGTGCTCTAAATTGGAGTTGGCCGTTAAAGTCTTGTTAAATTGCGTTTTTAGGGTTTGAAACCGAACAATAATGAGTCTTATCTATTTTGAAGGTAAGTTCAAACACTGAGGGGGAAATGTCGCCAAGTTTAGTTTAGCCATCTTTTTCTAAAAGAAAACACAACGTCCGTTCATCTTAAAGCAATTTGTTCCAAAATCCATTTGTGTGAAGCCTGCTATATTAAAACGAAAGTTACAGCGAGGTTAATCTTTAAGCAGAAGGTGTCTTACTGCATGCTGTAAAGATTAACCGTTTTCTATTAGTTAAATGTTCGTAAAAGTCAGCAGAGGGCGATGTGTTGCGCTTGGGAAAGAAAATCCAAGTTGATTCAAATGTAGCTAATTGCCTTAAAATGCACTTTCGACTAGCAACCCCTTAAATTCAGATTCCTTAAGCTGGAAAAAAAGGATGTGAAACTAAATTAGTAAGAAAAAGTACACATTTTATTACAGACAATTCTAGTTGAGCAGATTGCTAAAAAACTTAAAACCCTATCACAAGTTGTTTTGGGAAGTTGTCATGGAGGCCCTTTTCAAACTCCACCAGGCAAGTCAGAGCCTTTCTGCATGGGATTTGTTCTTGGTCTTTTCCCCCAAACAAAGACAGCAGGTCACATAAATTGGGAATTTTCCCTATCATGTATATGTATGAGTTAAAATCCCTACTGTAACTGTAATTTATGTGTTAGCCCCATAGACTGTAAATTATATATGCTCTATGGTTAGCCCTGGCAAAGACTGCCTATCCAGGATGCATAACCTGATGCATGCTGGGATAGACTCCAGCCCCTTGGCGATCCTTGATGGGTGTTTGGATGGTGCTTAGTTTTCCTTTTTCTGTTTTTGCAGCAACATTTTGCAATAGAAGTCTGTGTTTGTTCTCTGAAGTCTGAATCAACATCTCAAAGGGACAGATGGAATCCCCTGAAAGAAAAGCATAAAAACAAGAGGTAGACATAACACAGTGGTTACATTTTTGACAGTATGGCAAACATAAATTCTGCCCATAATTGAGATTATCCGAAATATTTCTGGCATTGTCTCCTTTCCATTAGAATGAATTCTTTTCTGCACTTCAGAATAGCATGGCACAAAAAGATCAAGCAGCGCTCTCTACCTTGGATGTATTGCATTAGCAAGTCAGTCAGTTTAAAGAAAGGTGTCTATTTATGTCTCTATAGATCCATCATCACAACAATGTCACATTGTCAGTTTTATTTGCATGAGGAGAGTCTTTCACTCTGACTTGCAGATATAAAAATGAGGATTTTCCAACTTTTTTTCCAACAGATTTAGTTGGCAGTGTTATTTTGTTTGGTACTGTTTCTGCAAAACAAACAAATGTATTTGTGCAGAAGTGCTTTATAAATAATATTGATTTGAACTGACGTAACAGGATTGTCATTCCGGTAAAAAATATTTATATATGTGACACAAAAATGTCTTTCACAGAAAGCCTTTTTCAAACTTTGCTTTGAAATTAATAAGATCACAGTCAATACTGATATAATATTGTAAAATGAGACAAATAATCCTTTTTATAGGTTCATGTGATCAAAGATGTTTTCTTTAAGCTGGCAAGTAGGGTAATCAATAAAAACAAAGGCCTCCCCCTTGCATAAAAAATTAGTCCTACTAGAAATATATTTTTAAAGACAGTTTCAAATTGAACTGGCACTAGGATTATAGAGGTTTCTTGACAGAACAGTACTTTTAGAGATGATTTATAGATGAGTCTGTTGATGGAATGAAGAGTTTAAAAACTCAGCTTAGCGTGTCTTTTTTCTTTAGTGCTTCCCCTGACCAAAAGATTTTCCTAGTGGACTGATAGTCGCTAGTTCAAGCCATTAGTCGACTAGTCATTGCACTTTTATATTAATTTAATTATTTAATATATATTTTGGGAGAATCAGAAAATGGTATAAGTTCCATGGCTTAGAAAGAATGCTACAAGTAGCATTGTTAACTTTATGCTACTTTACAGAGAAATACAAAACCGTAATAATGAGCCTTTAAAAAATACAAATTTTACAAGCACACTGGCATCGTCGTGAGGAGATGGGAGGCCAATGAAAGTGTGAAAACTCCAATTAAGACTCTTCTCATGGAGTAGCGGTTTGGTTGACTATTAAGGGGTAGCCCTACCTTCCTTTTTGATATTTATAATTTCTTTCGAATTACTCAGATAAACCCCAGTGTGCCTGGCAAAAAAGACTTTTAAAGCCAATTATTAAAATGCAAGCCAATGCGCACATTAGGAAAATGCTCATATATCCATCAGAAACAATAAATAAGTGATTTCTTCCCCCAAAAGCGAGGCAATCCTATTGATGCACAATGCATAAGAACATAATCACCTCACTGTAATTGGATATGCATGCTGTTCACCTCACTTGGTCTCTTTTTTTTTTCTCAGAGGTCACAGTGGCTGCATGTGTTCAGTATGAAGCCACTCCCTCTCCAGGTTGATAATAGGCAGGCAGAGCAGGGAACAGGTGCAGCCATTGAATGGTCCTTATGTGTATAGATCCAACCCAGATCCAGAGATGTGAACTGTGTGGAGAACAGGTGACATGTTAAATAATTCACTGTGGATGCTGGCTTTCTGTTTGGTTTTTCCCTACCTATTATGTAAAATGTGGAGATGGTTGAGTGAAATGGCCAAGATCATGCATGTCTGACCTGTAAAAGTTGTACAAGGTTTTAACAGCTGTAAAAGCCTGACAGCCTTGATCCTATGCAGTATTAAGTTGTCGTTATGCTTCCTCTTAGCATTCAAGAGATTTGTAAATGTTTAAACAGCGCTCTGTAGCTTCATGTTGCTTCTTCCCTGAGTGTCTAGAGTAAACAGTTAAGTGAAATGCATTTCAGGGGCACAATCACTCACACTTAAAGTTTTTAAGTGTGTTACGTAATAGTCGTCTATATCCAGCATCAGTTCCCACAGTGCACTGTGTGTTTGTCTACTTGTTGCATGAGTTTGCTGTTCAAGAGTCCATGAGCATAGCTGGAAATAACCTTCAGCTGGTTTGTGCTAACATTAGGGCCTGATATCTATCAATTATTCATCATGTTCTGGTCTGCCTGTGCAAATCTAAATGTGTCTCACCATGGAAACAGCCTTCTGTCTCCGCTGGAGGGTGTTGGTTTCAGCGGCCGTGCTGACTATAACCTCGTTTCTCAGTCCAGGCAGGCCTGCTCTGCTCCAGATTCTGACACATGCGATGAAAAAGACCCGGGACAGTTTCACAGTGTGTAGTAAATTTGATTTGAATTTCAGTCAACTGACAAAAGTTTATATAGAAGTTATAATGGTGATAAAGCTTAATTTATTAGCAGATTTTTTTTTGGTCTACATTGTTTACTACTTTGTTGATTATTGAGTTGCTCGTGTTGATTTTTGTCTTCAGTATTCTTGGACATACAGTACAGTCTAAGTTGTAGTCCATAAGGTCTAGAGGCTGTATCTATTTTATAGATTGTAATAAATGTGTAAGTTGCTATCATATCATAATCATTGTCACATTATATTATGCATTAAATCCTGTTAATGTAGCACAAACAATCCATAATTGGGAGGTAAGTTTTTACACAAAAGCCAGACTGTTCTCTCAAAGAGTAGGGTTCTTGTTTATTGTTGTGTATATTTTGTCAAATTAAGACATAGGCCTCTTACATACATCCAGACATTGCAGTAAAGTTGAGAAAGTTGAATCAGCTCCAGTTTTATCTATCAGTAGACAGAATAGCCAACTATTATTGGTAAAGGAGAAATTATTAAAAACGCGGTTACACTTGCATGTATTTCCTACTGAATTAGCACTCTGTCTCATGGGATCATGTTGACGGATTGCAATTTCTCTTAAGCCAGATTCAGGAAATTAATTAGCTCAGCAACCAAGTAACGTTTTATGTGTGTGTGCATGTGTGTAAACTGCAGGGCTGATTTCACTCGTGAAGGGAGTGATTAATACTATACTATCAGAAGGTCTTTCTCAGATACAGTAATCCTTAGCTGTAAAAGTGAACTGAATTTATGGTTATTAGCCTACTTGTCAGTATATTTTTGTTGAACACTAGAGGGTGCACTGTTACTATAACATTCTTTGCTAGTCCATGTAATTTACAGTAATACTACATTATAGTACAATAGCCTCAGTGACAGTTTCTTGGAATCTTTGAATTTTCAGATTTCACAATGTGGAAGGTTTGTACTGTTGTGAATACCTAAAAAAACAAACATGAATATTCAATGGAATAATCAGAAAGTGAGGGGTCATAATTTTCTGATGAAAGAACACAAAATATAAATATGAATCCTAAAAATCTAAATCAAACACAAAGTAAAAAACTTCAAATGTGCATATTTAGACACTTGAAAAACTGAGCAGGCTTATTTGAAACATGACTGAAGGCTTTAGAGTGAGTGTAGGCGGGTGTGACTCAAGATTTTAATGTGAGTCAGATTTGTTTGTGATTTAGTGAATATACATATGTATATGCTATTAGTGATTTAGATTTTTTTCCTGCTGTTGATCTACTGGATCATGTGCTGTAACCCCAAACACAAAGCATGTCTTTAGATGTTGTGAAGACATGCTTTGTCATTGCTTGGCTTTTTGTTTACTATCACAACATGATGATTCTTATCCTGAAGGACATTTTAAGTAGGTCAGTATTAGGCTCTTAGGTAATTGTAATTCAGACTCCATTAGTCTGCACAAGGGGTAGAAACAAGATGAATGTTCTTTGTTGTTTTTGACAGTGTTCTCAAGTGTGCTGCTGCTGTTGTTGAAACATTCCATTGAAACAGTTTTCTTTAGGCTGCCTTTTTCTTTGACAGGTGAATGAAAAGTGAAATTACTGCTGGACTCATTAGATTGAAGAAGAACTTGCTAGGGACTCCCTGTTGTGCAGCTATTCTGTTTGACATAGTTCTGCTCTGTTTGTTTAGTCATGTTTAGGTGTGATGTTTTGGCCACATTGTTCTGTTCTGCAACGCTAATCCTTAAAAAAACATGACCTGAAAAAAAAGAGAGTATAGGCTGGTAGGTCCGTGTTCTGACTGTGGTTTCTTCCTAAAACAGAAAACGCCTTCACTTCACGTACATACACAGGGTGTTTGTATTGCTGATGTAGGTCAGACTAGGAAAAACTGGTTCATGTGGTAGGTGTGTCCAGTTAGTGTTCACTTCAGTGGTTGAAAAAGACTGAGCATAAGCTGCAAGCTGTGTCAATGTTTCTCTGGATTTACATCTTACATATTACTTGATGGTTTCACACCTTTGACTTATTTCCTCAATGAATAGATGGCAGACACAGGATAAAGAAGAAAATGCAGGTGTTGACACAGGAAAATGCAGGTGTTGACACAGGATAAAGAAGAAAATGCAGGTGTTGTGTACTGAACTGATGGAACCAGTGATGACTGCAGTGCATGTGGATTCTATATGTCAAACATCTCAGAATGTGAAGAGGAGATATTGTGCAGCTTTTAAATATTCTCATGCTGGTAATGAGTACATGATTATTTAAGAAATTAGTTTGCGTCTCATTAACACCGCCAGAGGCAAGACTCTGTTTACACTTTGATGTGTAGACTCCAAGACAAATACAGGATATTTATTCAGGAATGCCTCATGGGCATACAGTAGGCGGGGGATGTTGTAGCTGTCAGAGCAGCCTCTCTTTCCCTCTCCCTCCCTCTTTAGTATGACTTTGCCCGTCTCTTCTCTGCCTCTAGACTTTTTTGCTGAAAGTAGGAGGGGCTGTCTAAGTAATCCAATACATGCCCAATTCATGAATGTCACTGTAACTTGCTGAACTGCCCTGACAAGTGCAGGGGTTAAAACACATTAGCAGACTGAAGCTGACAGCTCTGGCTGCATCTGTGCACAGCAGAAGAAGAAGCAGAAGAAGCTGTCCGACCAAGAGAAAGAACCAAGTTTGTAAGGAAGTAAAAAGGAAGAGAAAAATTAAACACTACACTAAAGAAACTGAGGGGGAAACCTGGCACAGCTTCAAATGACTTCTTTGGGAGAATGATAGAAGTAGCTGTGGGCTCCCTGCCATCCAACATGTCTTTAGAGGAGAGTGCTTTGAGAGACATGGCTGAGAGTGAGACGGATTGCTCTGAGGGACTGGGTGAAGTTGTCCTGGGGCGTATTGCCAGTTTACCTCTGGACCCATTTCCACCCAAAGACTTCAGAGGGAAGTTTAAAAAGATGCGCCATAAGAAGAGGCCCACCATTCTTGAAAGTAGGTACTGCTTTGACTCAGTGAAGCTGTGGTGATCAGCTCAAGAATTCTGTTTTTTAATCATTTTTGGAGAATGTGGTGCAGGGGCAATACCAGCATTTCAGCTACTACCACCATCACTTTGTGAAATGCCTCACCTCCCCGCTGTATTTGTCATAGTTACCTACGAATCTGATGGCTTGTTAATAATGGAGTCAGACAGTAGGAGAGTACATCACACAGATTTCAATATTGTGTAGTTGCGCTCATTATGACAAATTAGCATTCTTTGCATCTGACCTCACTTGAAATAAATATGTCAGCAAAAATGAGAAGAAGATGGACAAACTAGTGGCGCCAGGGCCAGAGAATAAGAGTAAGAGGGAGTCAAGTGTTTGAGCTTGATAACCACAAACATGGCTGAGCTGGACAGACATAACTCACATTCCTAACCTCCATCAGAGCTTGATAATGCTTTTAATAAGTACTTAATGTGTCAGAGCCTTCGCCCACGTAAAGCCTAATTAAGGAAAAATGTTTACAATAATTTTGTAACATTATTTTGTGACACTGATCCTATCCAGGCTGCCAGCAGACTTTCACTTCTTTGTGCTGAAATGTTTGGCAGCAGTTATGCCGACAAGTATAGAGATATCCAGATAAGCCAGTATGCCATAAACACCATACCGGTATTAAGGTTTCTTCATCGTGGCATTAGGTCAGATATTTTCACAATATCCACTCCTGGCTGATGATGTGGTGTGATACAAAAATTAAGTTATATTTTCTGGTAGATTAATTAAATAGCCGTCCGATCTGCTTCGACAGTTTGTAAAATGTAAAAGTCAATGTAAAAGTCTGCTTCATGGCGTTCTAGCAGAGTCACCTCAAATCTCTCTGAGCGACAATTCCATTAGACAAGTTGTTACTGCTTCTAAAATAATATGAAGTTGGCCTGTCAGGCCAAGAGAGGCCCGTAAACCTCATACCCTCACTGTTTTGAATTAGGAGGAAGAGTCAGTCATATAAACTTTTTTACTATGTGACTATGCAGAACCTTTAGTGAATAGGACATTAGTCATTTAATTTAATTTAGTTATGTAAGTTTTTTTAGAGTTGACACACAAAAGTGTATCCAAAAAATCCTGAATGTATACGTAATTTCAACTGTGTTGTTGTGATTTTTGACTCACAACACTGTTTCATATTCATATTTTAGTATCATAAAGGTCACCAACAGTGTGGTTCGTGTTTTTGTGCTTTTTTTTCAAACTTTAACTCTAGTCTGAGACATCTCCATCTGTCCACCTCTACTTTGACTTTTTCCTTTTTAGTTTAGTAATTACATAACCGTTTGCCCTTCAGAGGGCCTCTTACTACAAGTCAGGCTGACCAGATTATAACTGATGGATACGGTGGGGAAGTAAACTGTGTTTGTTCAGTGTTTAAAGAATCCATTTTAGCTGATCTCTGTATTCAGTAAGGACCCATAATAGGTCCCATAATAGGTGACCATAATAGGCCGAGCTATTGCCCGTAATTAGTTGCATACCTTATCGTTGTTTGTGTTCATATTTGATCTGACGCACATCTGTCTGCAAGCAGGATGACATACAGTACATGTAATAGGTGAAATATTTCTTGCTGAAACTGCCCTGATCATATCTAAGAAAAGAGTCGCTTTGCAGAACCCTCAACTTTTCATCCTGTGAAAAAACGAGAGCACTGGTAACTTCCAGAGAGAAGTGATTGTAAAGTTTGTGCTCTAACCCTCACAATGATATACAATCCAGTTAAAATATTGGCTTATTATATTGTGCTCACCCTGACTACGTGGTGGTTACTCTGAGGTGAGGAGATGTTTGCTGATAGGGCGAACAAAAATACACCACAGATGAACTCAGCAATAACAGACATGAATTTGTCTGAATAGTAGTAGTAATATGAGATAATGTGAGATTGCCACCAAATATATAATCACCATTTGAGTTGTGATAGTGTCAGCACCACT